GTACCACCAAGTGTGTGCCACCACGCCCGACCTGTCCTTTCATTTTTTTTTTTACCGAGTCTTGAACTCGGGTCCTTGCACTTGTGAGGCAGGTGGGGGAACCACTGAGCTAAATCCCTGGCCCTGGCCCTTCATTTTTTTCCCCTTTTTATTGAGTTTTTTGTGGCCCTTCATTTTTTGAGCACCTCTTTGTTTTCAGGATTTTTGAGATACTCCAGGAACATTTTGTTTTTCCACACATTTTACATGCATAGTTATATTTTATTCATTTCTCTTCACATATTCCATATTCTCTAAATTTTGGAGCCAAGTGTCAAGAGAATAGTTTTAATTCTCACTTAGCTGTTGACACTAATTCTATATTTGTTATTTCTAAGTTTACTGAAATGTGTACTATGACTATAGTATGTAGAAGTTCTGCCTTTTTATTTACTGTTTTAAAATGTTCAAATATGTAAATAGTTGTGAATGATTTTTGTACATTTATAAAGTGCAATTCCATGTTTTGCTGACTAAGTTCTTGTCATACTTATTTATTGTACTATTGATCTCCATACTTTGGTGGGGGATGTGCTGGGGATGGAACACAGAGCCTTGTATCTGCCAGGAAAGTGTCCTATCACTAAGCCATTCCCCCAGTTCTCCTCTGTGCCAGCGTTTCATCTTGTTTTGTTTGAGTCATAACCTTGCTATGTTGCCCACGCTGGTGTCGAACTCCTGAGTGAAGGGGACTCTATTGCCCCGGCTTCCTCAGTGGCTGGGACCACAAGTACATACCACCTTGCCGATATGTCACACTTTTCAAAATCAACTTTTTGTCTACTAGGTTTGTCATATTTTGACAGCAGAATATTGGGATCTGCAATTAAATTATATAGGAGGTCTTTGATGTTTCTCAAGGTTTGCATCCTGAAACTCTCTGACTTCCATCTATCCATGAAGTACAGTAAAGGTGTATCTGAAAATTGCAAGTTTCTCCTTTATATACCCTTAATGGTTAATGGGTTTTCCTATACATAAAGAGTGACAAAGCTGAGTTTCAATTTTGCTACAGTTCAGTTCATTCACTAGCTAAATGACTTACTTTAGCAAAACGGAAAATTGCCCACATATCACAGACCATTCAGATTCGTTTGTTTAACAGTTACATCTTGAGCACCTACAGTGAGTCAAGCATTGGGCTAAAGAGTAGGGATAGAGAGGTGAGCCACACACTCATAGGTCCTTTGCTCATGGAGCTTCAGTGCCCTCACTCTTGCTTGCAGATTATATTAAAGATATATTAAATCTTCAATTTCCAAATATTTTTGATAAATTTAAATTTCTTCCAAACTTAAACCAGCTTTTCTTTTAAGTAGTTTTTGCCACCTGATTTAATTCATTAGACTTTTATTATTTAACATACTTTTGATCCCTATATCCTTATTTTATCTATATTGTTAGTGCTTTTCTTCTATGAAAGATCCCATGAAACTCGTTCTTTACTGTCAGGAAATATAAATATACCATATATATAATATATATAAGCTATAACATGCTAGATCATTTTGTAGACATTAGGAATGCTGCAACAAATATGAGGTAGCTTCTGTTCTCAAGAAGCTCTCAAACTAGTAGGAAAGTGTTGCCTATAAGTAAATAATTATACTGTGGTATAATATGCTGAGACCCATATTAGAGCCAATAAGAAGCTATGGAAGAATGAGGGAAAGGGCCATCCGTTCTGCCTGCTGAAGACATCACTGAGAAGGTGATATATGATGTGGGCCTCAAAGACAAATGGGCTTTACCATGGTAGAAACAATGTGATGTGAACTTGTCCAGAAAATATGATGTTAACCAATGGAGTGATTTAGATCATGATGGGGACTGACTGAAGATACTGTTGAAAAGATTAATAGGAACCAGAGTGTGAGAGACCTTAGATGGTCTTTGTGATGGACCAATCAACTGATATATGTAAGAGGAGGTGTTGAAGCTTTGAACACCTTCATAGCCTGCATCTAAAAACCTATGACCAAGTACAGTTCTCCCTTCCATGGGGCAGCTCTCTGAATATCACTTAAGTACACTGCTGTCTCTCTCTCTCTCTCTCTCTCTCTCTCTCTCTCTCTCTCTCTCTCTCTCTCTCTGTCTCACTATGTAGTTCTGGCTGGCTTTGAGATCACTATATAGCCCAAGCTGTCCTTGAACTGGAGGCTATCCTCCTGCCTTAGCCTCCTGAGTGCTGGGACTACAGGCATACACCACTACGTCCGGCTCTGCTCATTTTCTGCCTCCATCATTACCTCAGACAGATCCCTGGTCATTTAGTCCACTAGAGGTCACCATCCTGGACACTCATTGGAAAAGTTCCTTCTCACTTAAATTCTATGATAAATGATGATCATATATGAAGTTATTTGGCATCCCGAGTATGGAGCAAATGCTTAAAGTATTAGGGTATCTCAAAACCATTCAGAGAGAAGTGAAGGAAGGGAAAAGGAGATGGAGAAATTGCATTGTTGGGGAGAGGGTGATAATGAGGAGGAAAGATCTGGGAAGAGTACCTGGGTGGTCGTAATAAAAACGCAAAGGCTTAAACTGCTGTTCATCTGTTCTTTTACTCTTCCAGGAAGCTAAGACCATGAAGTACAGATGTCTTTGTCCCTATGTGTGTGCATGGGGCTTTCCTGGGAATCTCTGCTCTCGTTTCCCCTTCTTGGAAGAAACAACCCCAACAAGGAATAATTCAAATCCAGTTCTCCTTTTATTCAATTACCATCTGATCACTCCATGTGAAAGTTTGATTCAGTTTATGAATCTAGTTTTTCTTACAAAGGCATCTCCCAATTTGACAGTTCCCAAGCCAAACCAGGCATCTTTCTTTAGATTTCCTTCTTTGATGTAAGGAGGTTGAATTCTATCATTCAGGCCAGCATTTCTAAGACTGTACCCAGAGGAACTCATAAGTGTGCTGTGAAGTGTTAATAGGTGTTATTTGAAACAAGGGTTCCATTTTCAAATACTTTTGAGAAATGCAACCAGGTGTTGTGGCACATGCCTGTAACCTGGGAGGCTGAGGCAAGAAGATTGTGTTTGAGCCCAACCTGGGTAACTTGGCAACTTGAGATCCTGTCTCAAAATACAAAATGTTTAAAAAAAGAGGGGTTTTGGGTATGTAGCTCAATGCGAAGGCCCTGAGTTTAATCCCCAGTACCACAGTGTCTGCTAATGTAGTAAAGACTGAAAAATCATAGAAGACTATGAAAATCCTTCAACAGGGCATCACAATCCCTGACTTGAAATTATATTACAGAGCTACTGTGATAAAAACAGCATGGTACTGAAAAAAAAAGACCCGAGGATCAATGGAATAGATTAGAAGATGCAGAAACAACCCCAAATACAACTCAGCCACCTTGTCTTTGACAAATGGGCCAAGTCTCCTCACTAGAAGAAAGATAGCCTCTTTAATAAATGGTGCTGGATAAACTGGCTTTCCACATGCCAAAGAGTAAAATTGGACCCATGTCTCTCACCATGCACTAAAATAAATTGAAAATGGGTCAAAGATCTAAATATTAAAACAGAAACATTAAGTCTTTTGGAAGAGAGAATAGGTAGAATTATTGAAGACATAGGTGTGGGCAGAGACTTCATGAACAAATCCCCAATCTCACAGGAAATACTACAAAGAATCAACAACTTGGATCACATCAATTAGTAAGCTTTTGCACAGCAAAAGAAATCACCAACAGAGTGAAAAGACAACCCATAGAGTGGGAAAAAAATTTAGTTGTTCATCCCTCAGACAAAAGACTAGTATTTAGAACATAAAGAATTGCAAATATCAGAACCCCCCAAATTTAAAGACCGAATCCAAAATGGGCATCTGAGATGAATACACATTTCTCAAATGAAAAAGTAGAAATAGAAAATAAATATATGAAAAAATGTTCAACATCATTGGTCATTTGAGAGATGTAAATTGAAACAACACTGAGATTCCATCTCACTCCAGAAAGACTGCCTGCTCTCAAGAAATCAACCAGTACCAAATGCTAGTGGGGTTGTGCAGAAAAAGGAATCCTTCCCCACTGTTGGTGCGAGTGTAAACTGGTGCAACCACTGTGGAAATCAGTGTGGCGATTCCTCAAAAACTAAGATTAAAGGTCCCATTGGACCCAGATGGGTATCTTCCTGAAGGAGTTGAAAGCATCATACCACAGAGCTATATACACACTCATTTTTATAGCAGCACAGTTTATAATAGTTAAATATTGGAAACAACCCAAATGCCCATCACCCAATGAATGGATAAAAATGAAAATGAGGTATATATGTACAGAGGAATATTACTGAGCTATAAAAAGACATGCTATGATATAGGTGGATCTTGAAAACATGTTAAGAGAAAGAAGACAATCATGAAAGATTACTTGTTATATTTATATGAAATGTTAAGAATAGATAAATCCATAGAGACATAAAGTAGATTAGTGGTTTCCAGAGCCTAGAGGAGTGAACAGTGATGGCTTATGTGTACTGGGTTACTTAAGGGTACAGAAACACATTTTAAAAGTAGATAGTGGTGGCAGTTGCACAACTCTGTGGATATATTCAACACTATTGAATTTTGCACTTTAAACAAGTTAAATCTGTGATATGCAAATTATGTATAAATTAAAAATAGTATTAAGATGTTTGAAAAATGGAGTGGAGATTGCTTGGCTATCATTTGAGTCCTTCAGTACCTTGGGTGTCGGGCTCAGACAGAAAAGCCAGGAGGGAGCCAGCAAGAGATGTCTTGGGATGCTCCCTTCTGACACTCCTCAGGAACAGTTCCTTGGAGGGCTTTACTCTCATTGGGGGGAACTTCTAATATCCTTCTCTACCACACAGAGCCTCCTTAGTCTCCCTTCCCTTTCCAGGCCTTTTTTGGGGTTCATAGCAACTGAGTCTCCTCTCCAAGGCAGGAGGAGCTCCAACGCTCTTGGGCATACATGTAGTCTCTTCAGTCACAAGAAAAGCAGCTTCTGGCTGTCTGAGCAGCCATATTGGGTCTTATGCTTATTAAAGAGTTTGCTCAGAGCGTCCATATAGAGTGTGTGGTATTTGTCCACCATCTCCTGGCTTGGTTTTTCAATTTGGGGCAGCGGCAGAGGCTCCCCAACTGCCAAGAGAGATGGGAAAAGAGAAGGGTGAAAGTTCTGGAATCTCTGCTTCTTTCAGCCTCCTCTTCTTCCTGTGCCCAACCCTCTGGAACCCCCAGTTGGCTCCCAGCTTCTCCCCCATGCTGCCCCATTTTTTCATGGGGTCAGGGAAGGGAGTGCTGAAATGAAGGTTAAGAAAGTTGAAGGGCCCTCAGGGTTGAGAGCAACACTTACCCACAGTGACAATAGGCCTGCTATATGGCAAGGGACCAATGGAGCCTTGGTAAAAGCCTTGTCCATAGAAGACACAAAAATAGAAACCAAAGATTCGACGGAAGAAGTTCTGGCACTTGTACATCCTGCTGCCTTCCTGGAATAGCACTTGGTCAAACACCTCAGTTTCTCCGAAAGTGAAGGTGGGGACCAGATGAGCCCTGTAGGAAAACTCCAATTTATTTTTCAAACACAGGCTAGAATGGCAACCACTCTGGAAAAACAATTGTTTGTGGTCAGGCCCACATCTATGGTATTATCATAAAATCCCAGTTATTGAAAGCATTTCTTCTTGTCCTAAACAGAACTCCCCTATCTAGAGACTCTTGTCCTGAAAATTTCCAGGGCAGTGTGAGTGTATCTCTGGACCAGCATTACAAGGGCAAAAAATGGGGGTACATGGAGGGAAGAGGAGTTGGACTTTGCTAGAGAGACTACCAGAGACTCACAGCATGAAAAACTTTGAAGAGACGTCAAAGAGGGAAACACCTGACTGTTTCTGTTGGTTAACATGCAGAGAAGTTGAGCGTAACTTTGCACAGATGTACATATATAATATGCCCCTCACTCAAGGGGGCTGTTCATGGGTGATGGGATTAGAGAATAGAAAAGTTATTGCCCAGAGATTTGAAATAGAACCCTGAAAAGTGCCCTAAGTAGATAATCAGAGTAGATAAATTCCTTAAATTAGAGAAGAGTAAAGAGAACAGAATTTATTTCATGTAAACCTTTATGAGTTGCTAACAGCCATCTCTAAACACTTCAACATATCTTATCTTACTGTATCCTTGCAACAAAGACAATGGAAACACAATGGGGAATCTGAAGTTCAGGTTGAGAAGGGAGGACACTCAGGCAGTAAGGGAGGACCTGACCTAGAACCCAGGACCCCATCCTCCCTGTTCAAAGCTCCCTTGCTTACCTTATACTCCAGACTCATGGGCAGGCCCCTGAGACAAGGTCCTCAGAAGATAGACACCCCTCCTCTTTGAATGTGCAATAGGACAATTGTCCTTGCATCACATGGGCTACAATGCTGGCCTGAGAGGGCATCCTGTAGCTGTAGTGTAGGGCTCCTCGTTACCCCTAAGTCAGAGTGGCTAAAATTTATTGATTACTCACAGCATACCAGGCCTGCAGTGGGTGTTTTATACGGGTAGATTTATTCAAAGCCCACAGTCACTCTAAGGTATAGGTACAGTGGCCACATTATGAAGATGGAAACACCAAGGCTCAGAATGTTTAAGTAACCTGTCCCAGAGTGCACAGTACATCACAGAGCCAGGATTTCATTTATTTTATTTAGCATTGTTTTGTGTGTATTGTGTAGAGCACTAGACATCGAACTCAGGGCTGTGTACATGCCTGGTCATCACTTTACCACTGAGCTCTACTCCCAGCCCATGGAGCCAGGCTTATAAATCAGGCTCCCTATTCCAGCTCCCACACAAACTCACTACAGCATACTATAGTGCCTCTTGAACTTATCATTAGTAGACAGATGTAGATTATCTCTGTCAGTCGTGTTCTGCTAAGGCAGCCTTAGCCCGGCTGGCTGGGCTCATGGTTTGGCTTCCTGGAAACTCAAAAGTAGTGATGACATAAACAATTTTGAAATTCTTGCTAATATCTTCTACTCATTAGAAAGTTCCTTGAGGAAAGACTTGTGTGGGACTTATCTTGACACCACCTACAGGGTCATGCTACTCCAAGAGGGTCACCCACTCCTCCTCTGAAGGATATCTACCCATGCTGGAGGGCAGTGCGCACAAAGCCCTTGCGCTTCTGGAGGATGAGAGTGGTGGTATTGGGTACACTCTGCAGGGCCTCTCCTACTCCTCCCACAACAATGCCCACGAGATTGCCAGTGCCATGGCTCAGCAGGTAGTTGATGGCTGGCTGGCTCACAGAGCACACACCTGTACAGAATTGAGGAGAAGAAAGAGGAACAAACTGATCAGAAGAGAAAAGAGCAGAGAAGGAACACACTGGCTTCTTTGTATCCTTGGGTCCTAGAAGAAGAGGCTCAACGAGATGGGGCTAAAGAATGTGATGAGGAGGCTGTGGACAAACAACAGGTTTCACTTTGAGACAATACCTACACTTTGGAGAAGGCACTGGAATGGAAACTATGCAGAAAGATTTTCAGTGGGATAACCAGATGGACTGCCCATATTTCAACTAGAATTCTACTCTTTCTTTTTCCATTAGTAACAACAGCTACTGTTAATTGAGTGTATGCGCTGTGCCAGGTGTTAATGTCGAATGCTTTACTTACGTTATCTCATTATGCCACATCTGAGATCAGATTATTACCATCAGCACCTTTCTAAATGAGGAAACTGAGGCCTGTAGAGGTTGATTACTTTGCCCAAAATGACACTGCAAGTGGTAAGAGCCAATGCTCAATCCCAGGAAGTTTAGCTCCAGTGCACATACTTTGAACCACTATGCTGAGATTATGGGGGAACCTAAAAAAGTATCTTTTCTCTCTCTCTCTATTTTTTCTTTTCTTTTCTTTTTTTTGGTATCAGGGATCAAACTTGGGACTTCATGCTTGCAAGGCAGGCAGCAGAACCACTGAGCTAAATCCCCGGCCCTACAAAGGTATATTTTCAAGGAGAAAAATGGACCAGAAGCTCTGGTATGGTCAGACACACCTTTGGCCATGAGGTAGTCCCTAATAAGGGGGACCTTGAAGAACCAGGACAGAGTGGCTAAGTGAGGAGTGATGCCTGGGAAGGTCTTTGAGAAGCCCGTGGCCTCAGTGCAGAAGTTGCAGAAGGCGCCAAAGGTCAGGAGGCCATGCGGGTGAACCCCCATGATGTAGTTGCGCTCAGGTGACAAGTCTTCAGTCTTCAGGATCTACAGTCATGAAGAGAAAGGCAAGAGGGGATAAAATGAGCTACATGAAGATCCTTCAGGAATTAGGGTGCTTCCTGAAATAGAGCTTTCCAATAAACAGGGTAGGCCTAGGTTTCAGGAAGCCAAGAGATAGGTCTCCTCAGCCCTGGGGTAACAAAGCAGGACCTGGGCAAGCTACAACTGTCTGGCCATTTGCCTGTGGCTTCAAGTAGGCTTGGCTATTTATGTCAGTGTGCTTTATGCACATGGCCATTTTTTTTAGCTGTTATGTGACAAAGGCCAGGAAGCTCTGCTCTAAGAATCAAGGTGGTATTTTTTTGTGTACTCCAAAATGCCCAGGGGATCAACAGAACAGTATATTTCTAGAACCTCATCCTGGTATTGTCTTCAAATTCCTTTCCAGTGTCCACATACTAGTAGCTAACTTACTGAACCTTGAAAACTGCTCAGATAGCACTGTATCCTCTAATGCCCACCATCTGAACTACTTCTGTGCTTTGTACCAAATTGTCATTATATACTTGTCTGTCCTTCTCATTAGAGGTGAGCTCCTTGATGGCAGAGTCACATACTGTTCACTTCTGTGTAGCCCAAACAAATACGTCAGGGGAGGCTTTTGATTCATGATTGTTAAACTGCACTGAACTCTACTTGCCCTCTGCCTGTGTCTGGCAGGCCATGCCAAGGGTGTCCAAGTACCTGAGCAGAGTATAGAGGATTCTGAAGTTATGTAGCCTGGACTAAAACTGTGTCTGAGATTTTCATCTTCCTTATGAACAATCCTAGTTATTTATATAAATGCCTAGCATTTTGGGATCTGCAAGGGACATATTAGAGAAAAGACTCTTACCATAATGGGGAAATAGTCCCTGATGTGAGTCCAGACATACCAGTTCCTTACCCAGGCTGAACGCCTGCCACCTGAGACAAAAAATGCCAGAGGGAGTTGAGTCAGCATCTGCCTCAAAGGGCTTCCCTACCAGTTTATTGGGACCATAACTCTGCTAATGAGGTGAAAAAGGAAGAAGTCCTCTGAGAACATGGAGGATATACCTGTGGCCTGGTGAGCAGGATTTATTATATAGGGTTGCAGGTTAAGGTGGGGCATTCTTTTTTCTAGGTCCATGAGTCTTACCTTGCTCTGGGGTCTTCCAGTCCAAGAACAACCAAACAAAGTAAATCACTGGTAGTGGCCACAAGGGTGTAAACAGCAGAGAAATAAACAGTGGCTGCAAGATCAAAACTGATGAGGAATGTGGTCAGATCAAATTTGTACTTCCAGCAGAACTTGACCATGTCCAGTTTCATTATCAGCTAGCTTTCCATACTCTCCTGGCCTTCAGCACAAGCCAGGTCCTGCCCATCCATCATATATGGCTACTTAGCCTTCAAAAATTTCTTCTCTCATCTACCACATGCAAGTTCCATTTCTCCTTCTACCTGGCATCCTGTCTCCATGACCCTCTCCCAGACACCATCCCAGTACTCCTGCTCACTGCATGTTACCTGCTTCCCCCTTCTCCTATTTGACCAAAACCTTTTTCTTCTTGTCTCCTCACGCCCTATCCATTATCTCTGAACCCTCAAGTTACTAGTCCACCTTCCTTTGCACTTATAATACCCATTTCTCTCTACACCCTGCCCACCCAACATCTTCATCTCTCTACTGTTTCCCATCTACCATTCTTGTCCCTTTGTCTATTCACTGCTCCTTCCATTACCTCTCTTTCCTCCTCCATACTACCCCTTCCCTCCCAGAGTAGAAACTCTACTGTTGAGACACAGACCTGATTTCTCTAAGTCTATAACACTAATGCTTCCTCTGTCCCACTCCCCATAAGAGAGTACTTCCTGGATAGATAGTAAGGATCTACTCATCTCTACCATGACCTTGTTCTATCACATTTCTGTCCTTACTCTGTCCCGGGTTCAATCTCTTCACTCACCATTCTTGAAACTCCTTGTCTTTACACACTAGTACATCTCATATAATAAAAAAGACAGAGATGGGACTTCCCATGATCATCAACATCACCCCAAATCTGGCTCTTGCCTCTACTTTGGCTTCTTACTGTGCACTTTCCGGTTGGTACTCACATATGGCAAGGTAGCTCAAGGGCCATTGCAGAAGGCTCAGAATCTGGAAGTTATTAGGTTGCTTAGAAGAAGGCATGATGCCCTGGAACCTGAAGGAGGCAAAGATCTCAGAGCAGTGTTCCAGTGAAGGTGCCACCAGCTTCTGGAAACTCACTCGGTAGTGGATGCATATGACTATGAAGAGCTGGCACCCACCCATTCCCCTCTTTGTCCCACCCCCAATTCCACCCACTGTAGGGCTGCACTATAGAGCAGTGAGGACTGTGCCATCAGATGGGCCCAGCCCATCTGCCCTCTGACTTTCTTTCCTGAGATTATTAGGACATCAGGATGAAGAAAGGGGAAAGTGATTATCATCCAGTCCAAGTGACATAGAGACCAACAGAGAAAACCTCCTCCTCACAGGCCAGTCAGAGACTATAGGGGTTGGGAGCTTAGGAAGATGGCTGGTGGGAAGGGAATTCTGTGGGGTTAGGGTGAAACGCACCTAGGATTAGGTCTCTGTAGTTCTGAAACAGCCTGGTTTGGGGCTGCTCCACTCCTGTAACATTTTATTGTAAAAATTTCCAGACATATGCAAAACTCAAGAGTGAAATTTTCACTTTCAACAACTATTGTTCAGTGCCTAGCACTAGAGGAAAAAACCAAAACCAAACAAACAAAAAAGGCTATTAATATTTTTCCATATTGTTTCAGCTATTTCCCCACTCTTTTTGAGTATTTGACAGCAATTCTAAAACATGTCTTATCCCTAAATCTTCAGTATGCATCTACTAAAAATACAGATACTGTGTTTTCTTCCCTAATAACATCACTGTTATAGCTCTTAACACATCTAACAATCCCCTAACAATATTTAATACCCAATTAATTCCACCAAGGTAAATTTGTTATATTTAGATTCACTGCCCCTCAACCCTGAGGATTGAACCTAAGACTTTCATACTGAGCTAAATCTCCAGCCCTTTTAAAATATTATTTTGAGACAGAGTCATGATAAATTGCTATGTTGCTGCCCAGGCTGGGATAGAACTTGTGACTACCCTGCTCTCAGCCTCCCAGAGTACTGCGATTATAGTACCACCATGTTCAGCTGGATGCTGTTTCTTATCTCCCTCTCCCTCTCCCTTTCCCTCTTTCCATCCCTCCCTTCACTCTCTCATTGTAAAACAGAATCCATATACTTAGGAATATGTACTTCTTAAATGTACTTAAAGCAAATGTATGCCTTAATTATTATAAAACAAATACCTTGTAGTTACCATTAGTTGAAGAACTTTTCCACTGACTCCAGAACCTTCTCCATGTGCCCCATTCCAATCACAACCCCCTTTCTCCTTCTAAAGTAATCAGTATCCTAAGTCTTCTCCCTTCCCTTCCCTTCCCTATTGTTCCCTTTCCCTCTCTTCTTTCTCTCTTCTGTATGCTGGGGGTTGAACCCAGGGCCTTCTTGAAAATCTCTTTTATCTTGAGACAGGGTCTCACTGAGTTGCCCAATCTGGGCTCAAATTTGTGATCCTCCTACCTCAGCCTCCCAGAGTCCTGGGATTACAGGCATGTCCTACCATGCCCAGCTTCATTTTTTTTAACCTAAATGTATTTCCCTTGTAAGTAGTCATTTAGTTGTTCTCCCTCTATTTTTAACTTTTTATTTTGGAATAATTTTAGATTTATAAATTGCAAAGATAGGACAGAGAGTTTCCTATGCCCTTCACCCAGTTTCCCATTTATGCTAACATCTTATGTAACCATGGCACACTTATTACAACTAAGAAATAAATATTGGTGAGTTTCTATAAACTAAATTCTGGATTATTTGGGTTACACCAGTTTTTCCACTCATATCCATTTTTGCTTCATGATCTCACTGGGATTCTGTGTTGCATTTAATCATCAGGTCACTTTAGTCTCCCCCAATCTGTGACAGTTTCTTGGCCTTTCCTTATGTTTCTTGACCTTGAAAGTTTTGAAGCATTCAAGTCTGTTCCAGTGTACAGGTCCCTCTCTTTTCCATTCCTTAAGATTTTACTCCTGAAGAACCATATCATTTGGCCTGTTGAATTTTCCACAGTCTGAATTTTGCTTATTGCTGTTCACAGTGCATGTCATCATGTTCTTCTGTATTTCTTGCAGATTGACAGGTGTATTCAGACTGAATAGGATTCAGATCCAATCTCTTTGGCAAGATCCTAATTTGCTTTTTTTTTTTCTTTTTCTTTCTTTCTTTCTTTCTTTTTTTTTTTTTTTTTTTTTTC